TATACGTATATATTATTATGAATTATGATGGTTTGCACGTTACACAGTGACTCAGTCCGAGTGTAGCATAGTGGGGTTCTACGACCGACACCGAGTCTCGTGTGCAAACTTTCTCGATAAATATTAACGTCGTGTAATTACATTGCCAAGTCATTTGCCGTTTAATTATTTAAATTTCGAACAATACAGACTTTCAAGTCTTTTGATATGACGCTCAATTTTTTGACACCTTACTGCAATTGTTGAATTTTTTTTTAACTTCACATTGAATCAAAAATTATCAGTGATTTTTCGTATTTTATTTCTTAATTTTTAGTCATAATATTCATTTAAATAAATTACTCACTTGAGAGAAAAAATTAAAAAAAAAATGGGCATTGTTGTAATAAGAAATTAATTTGTTGAAAATTTTTATTCTTTAATAAATAAATTTTAATTCTTAGCTGAAGAAATAAAAATTTTTCTCACATTCACTGTTTTGTCGAAAAAAATCAAATTTTCATCTAAAATTGTTTTTTTCCGAAATCTAGAAAAATTTTTTTCTACAAAAAAATTACTATGAAAAATGTTTATTCTTTCAGTTAAAAATTTTAAACACATTAATTTTATATAAAACATATTTCTCTCCTTGTAAAAAATAAAATAAAATTAAATAAATAATTTCTGTTGAACAAACAGTTAAAATTTCATTTTTTCGACTCAATAAATTTTGTCATACTTGCAAAATAATTAAAAAAAAACTATAATTTTATCAGAAAAATCATATATACATTTAATTAATTACAATAACACTTGAAACAATTAAATAAGCGTATCATCCGCTTAATTGGCCCGAAAGAAAATGGAGTTCTACATTACAGTTCGTAAATAGGTGTCCAGTACGAAGATTAAACGATACAAGCTTGATGATTGATGAATCCCGAGAATTAACGATTACTATCTTGTGTAATATAAAATGTTGGTCCTATCCGTGTTAATAATCTAAAGTAACCAATTTAGATTGTATAATGTAATGTAATGACGACCAACATAACTAATGAACGCATAATTATTCAAAGTATTTAAATTCTGTCCTCCAGTCGATCAATTAAAGTGAGCACTATTATCATTATCATAATAATCATTAGGCCGTTAAATAAAGCATACTATCCTCTGGTCGGTGCGTAACAAAGCGGTGGACCCCTGATCCCCGATCAATCCTGCTGGGAAATTGCTAACACTTATATTACCTGGTGATGCACCAAAAGGACGCCTTTGAAAACCTGTTTGCTTCCATATTTCCATATGAGGGCCACGATCGGTTCACATAGTGCTGCGTTTGATAGTAGAGAGCCGATCGAACCAGTCTATTTGAATAAAATTATACTATTTTCCATCGACACGTGTCTTCGTACCCGGTTTTTAAAATAAAACAAAATTTATAAAACTCCTAATTAATATTCCGTTGCTGGGTGTTACGAGGTGTGTCGAAGATTCCGATGTATTCTCACACATGCAAATTTAATTATCGACTCTGGAGTAGAGTAAACCCTCCAGGCTTAATACTACTTTATATAACATGTTTTGATGCAATTCTGCTCCTCGCTGAGTGGAGTAAGAGGTCCCGTTTCCATTAATATTATGAGCATGTGTGTGAGCTTTATTTTGATTCTTATTTATGAAGATTGATATTCGCTAATGCTAAGTACTTTTTGGTGTTGCTAATTTGGATATACATAAATTTAGATATAAGTAGTCTGATTTCGACTTTTTGTTTTTTAAGTGAGAAGCATTAAGGATGGACTAAGCTCGTCTGGAAATCGAAAAATTCGTTTTGTTGTTGAAATTGAGTTTTAGTGTTTAAAGAAGGTTATTTATTTTGATAAAAATGAAGGATTAAATTTTTATTTTATCATTGTTGCACAAAATAATGAAAAGCAGACTATTTATTCAAGAGATTTTTTTTTATTCATATTTTTTTAAAAGCGGATTTAATATTTGAGCGGTAATAAATTATTTGCTTAACGAGCTATTTTTTATTGTTGAGAAATTGTTTGATGGATAAATATTATAACGATTGGTTTATTTGTACTGGAGTTTGGTGTTGATAATTGAGAATAAATCATGGTAAATATTTGTTCGAGATTGGATTTTTGCCGATCAAATAAATTACTCTGAATAGTCACATTTATGCGATATGTGTTTACATTATTCATAATGGCGAGGAAACCCCCATGAAAAAAAAAATATAATATGTCGAAATACATAAAAAATATATTAAAAATCTATCAAAAATATATCAATATATATAAATGATGTATCGTAAATATATTTTTAATAACTAACTTTTGGCCGATTTTCATATATATTTCAAATAGATATATTTGAAATATATAAAATACATATGAAAATCTGCCATATATATTTTTATATATTTATATATTTTTTATAGATTTTTAATATAGATAGATAGATTTATTTGCATTGTACAACAGTAAAAACTGCTTTTTACAATTTTTTCATCACATTGTCTTAATTTGTACTGCATCTTAATAGTTACTTAATTTAAAGCTCTGATGGTTCTAGCACCATATTTACTTAAGTATTTTATTTCATGTTAACAATAATACCACTTTTTTTTTTTTTTTTTTTTTTTAACTAGCTTACGAAATTAAATATTTTGTTAAATATTTTAGAATTATTTTAAGTTCAATCACATTACAATACATTAGAAATTTAAAGAATCTACAGACTAACTTTTATGGCACTTGTTATCTAAAAATAAGAAATAAGAAATTTAATACAGCCTCTTTGAGGCACTTATGAATATCAATATTGATTTTTAATATATTTAAAATATATTTTTTATATATTTCGGAAACATATTTTTTTTTTTCATGGAGGAATGCATTTTATTTTACAAGTATAAATGAGTAGTAAATAAATATAAATTATTAACAATATAAAATATTGAAAAAAATTATCAATTAGTAATTATAAATTAGTATTTTTAATGTATTGAAATATTAATGCGCATTTATGAAACACACGACAAAAAGTAACTGTTAAAAAATCCGACGAAGATTAGTCATCAATTGGTAAGTAGTCATACTGGACGACAATTAGCAGCGTGTATGTTTTTTTAGTGATTTTCTCGACCTCATTTTTTCCCTTATTTGATCAATGAGTTGATCGCGAGAACAATATACTTTTATGATAATGATAACACAATATATAGTGCAATGGACAGTGTATTTATAACAAATACATAGATATAGATTAAACCTTTGATTACACGGATGAATCGTAGTTTACAACAAAGCAAAAGGTTTTTATCTATCATATGTGTAACAGCAATAATGATGATGATAATATAAATAATTATTTTACAACTGATAAAAAAATATAATTAACCATTGCATGTAATTGTAACATAAACGCGATTGTGATGAAAACTATGTTTCTTTATATGCAATGTTGATTTATGCTTTGCGCTAATATTTGATAAGGTTGTTATAAATGGACGTGTGTATGATGCATTTAAATATTACTTAATTATTATTATTAATAATAATAATAATGCTATTTAAAAATAATATATTTAACATATAAGTGGTTTAGGATATCAATAATATAACATGCTTTGAATAGTCGATAGTACAAAAATAGATCAGTGATATAATATGCAAATTTGACGTTTAGTATAGTCCATAGTAGAAGTATAAAATAACATCTATAATGATATAAGTGAACAAGTTTTGCATGATGTATATAAACAGTGTTATATAGTAAAATAAAAAATCGAATATTGACGGCGTAAATGTCATGAGCATACAGTAATTTACTTGAACTACGTACAAAGCGTTTATAAATAAACTATATCAAATTTTAAAAAAGCTCTCCCTTTCTATTCAGCTGCCCACTTAGTATTATGAAGGCGTGTACACGGAAAAAAATAATCGGTAGATGCTACCGATTGGCGATCGGTAGCTGCTACCGAAAAAAATCGGTAGCAGATACCGATTTTTTCGGTAGAGTCTACCGATTATTTCGGTGCAGGCTACAGATTACCACACGGAGAGAATTTTATGTTAATGGTAACCATCCTTATTTTGTACACAGAAAAAAAAAATGTTCTTGAATCAAGTATATATTTTTGAAGAGCTCAATATTCTTGGTTTGAGTAGAAAAATTCTTGATTTAAGAAAATTTTTCTTGATTTAAGGAAATTTTACTTAATTCAAGAATTTTTCGTCTTGATTCAAGACAATTACTCTCTTCAAAATTATATTCTTGGTTCAAGAATTTTTCTCTTGAATCAAGTTAATTTTTTTTTCTGTGTAGCTTCTACTATTCAGCATAATTATTAACTTTTGCAAAGTTAAGATGATAAATGGAACTACTCGGCGATTGTAATTAGTACAATCAATATATATTAATTCCCACAATTATATAAAAACTACACAAGAAGTGTAAAAAACTAAATTTTTTCGATTTTAGAGTCAGAAACTAATAACATTCGAATGTTTGACATAAGAGTGAGTATTGAAAAAAGTATATTTATATTATTAAGAGAATAACAAAAATTTTGTCTCCAGGATAGTCATATGATAAAATCGGTTTTTTTTTTGTGAAATTTATTGTCATTGCAAAGGTCTTGACTTGAATTTGCGCCTTTGCAAGGTTTCATATCATTCTCATCGTTATTAAATTTATCATGATAAGTATTGAGGCTGCATTCAAAAATGCTCCATTTATAGACACATAATTAAGAAATGACCTTTTATCTTGTTAACTATGGTGTGACGCGTTTGGGCCTCAGACAATTCATCCCCGACAACTCATCCCTTCGACAATTCATACTCTGACAATTCACCCCCGACAATTCATCCCAGCGACAAATCAGACTATTGATTATTGGGCCCAAGATGAATTATTCGCTTTTTGCTTATTTGTTTATTATTTGTAATATTAGTAATGATTTCCTTTATAAATTTATACTTAAATACACACAAAAAATCATGATAAAAGGGCGCAACACGATTATCCGCGTTTGCGATGGTCAAATTTCAAATAAATACACACAAAAAACCATGTTAAAAGGGCGCAACACGATTATCCGCGTTTGCGATGGTCAAATTTCAAATAAATACACACAAAAAACCATGTTAAAAGGGCGCAACACGATTATCCGCGTTTGCGATGGTCAAATTTCAAATAAATACACACAAAAAACCATGTTAAAAGGGCGCAACACGATTATCCGCGTTTGCGATGGTCAAATTTCAAATAAATACACACAAAAAACCATGTTAAAAGGGCGCAACACGATTATCCGCGTTTGCGATGGTCAAATTTCAAATAAATACACACAAAAAACCATGTTAAAAGGGCGCAACACGATTATCCGCGTTTGCGATGGTCAAATTTCAAATAAATACACACAAAAAACCATGTTAAAAGGGCGCAACACGATTATCCGCGTTTGTGTTGGTCTAGTGTGTTCGTTTAAATATATATATATTTAGAGATTTAATTGTGGTAAATACTTGTTCATTATTTATCTTATAAACTAAAACCGTATTTAATGTAATAAGGATGAATTGTCGAGTATGTATTGTTATTGTATCAATTGTCGCGGGGATTAATTGTCGTGAGGATGATTTGTCGGGGATGAATTGTCGCAGATGAATTGTCTGAGGCCCAAAAATCAGCAAACCGTTAACTATTGA